TTCTTTTTCAGAGGATAGACTGGGAGAGTAGCTGATTGTGAATTTATCTAAAGTTAACAGAATTGTCTCTTCAGGCAGAGTGCCCAGGAAGTGTTTGGAAAAGGGAGAGAGAAAAACCTAAAACCTGAGAATGTTGCATTTGGCTAGAAAGATGAGTATGAGAAGAGTCTCTGAGAAACAGACACGGCTGTATTTCAGGGAAGAAGAACAGGCAGGTAAGTCTTGCTTTGAAAAATTTAAATGTTGGGCTCTTTGTTATGTTGGAATTCATTTAAGGTAAAAGACAGTCTTAAGCACTGGAAACTGTGGAGGAGCCTGTACCTATATTTCAGAAGGTCACCAGCTCTTAAAGGAGAAGACTGCTGGAGAAGTAGGTCAAACATTACCAGTAGTATCTGAAGTGGTTTTATATGTTGTTAATTTATAATTCAGTTAAGTACCTTTGTTATTCATACTTAGCAAGCTGAATTTTACTCCTGAGAGTGATGGATTCCATTGCTCTTACTCATGTTGAGTTGCAGTCAGTGGAACTAATTGTTGAATAAGGTATGCTCAGCATGAGGATGGGTGATGGAATCTAGCCCAGATGGATGTATCTTTTCAACTACTGCTGTTCTAGAGAGCAGCCAGCTCAACATAGGCAAATGGAGCACGTTGCTGAAAGTGCTTCAAGTCAGTCTTGTGGCACACTCTAGTATTTTTACAGATGAAAACAAGGGTTGTTTTCAAGTGATTTCCCCTCACCCTCCAAGGCTGAATCATATTAACAGAAAGACTGGGAAAGCATCTGTGCTGTAACTGTCTGTCCTGTGTTACACCAACAGAAAGCAGGTGGGCTCGTGCAGTTCTGCAGAAATGGCTCCTGAACTGCAGCCCTGTATAGAAGTCTAAGCTTCCTGAAAATGTTTCATTGTGCAGTGTTCTTAATGCATTTTTCTGACACTTTCATTCTGTGCCCTACTCTTCCATCCTGTACAGCTTTCTTGTTGGCAGAAGAGTGCTGGTGCAGTTTTGCATACGTAGCAGAGCCTCTTGGAGAACACCACTAGCATCAGGCATGTGGTATACACACATGGAGTACAGCACAGATGCAAAGTGCCAGTTTTAACAATTGAACAGAATTTATTTTGAAGCATGACAGGAGTATCACTTACAGTATTACACAGACGTGTGAGACAATCTTTCCATGAAGCAAACCCAAATTGCATGACTTCACATAATGACCAAACCCCTAGCCAGTTGCTCTCCTTAGGGGACACTGGTAGCCAGTGTACAGAAGGAGGTATTCCTGGAGGAGATGAAGGGGAGGAATCGGACACCTCTGAACTCTAGGAAGCTGGCTAAAGCAAAGGCCCGAGGTGTGGTGATGCTAGTAGCCCCTCTAACTAAACACTGCCCTAACTGAAATGCAAAACCAATGAGTGGCCACTCTCTGTGATGCAGTTCTAGTTAAGTGTGCTGCATTTTCACTGGGATCTTATGCCTCTGCTGAGGACTAAGATAGGAAGTACAAGAAATACCAGTAGTACTATAGTAATACCATAACTTAGCTGAAATAGGGGTCTGTATGTGATTAAAGCAACCATCCTAGATGGTCTGGAGAGAGCCTTAGAGCTAGTGTCTTCAGTGACACTTGCTAAATACACACTAGAACCTGTAAAGATCTCGTGTAGTGAGAACCCCCAACTTATCTCTCCTCTGCTTTCTGAGGATGAGAAAAGCCAAGGAGGCAAATAATTGTAGAGAAAACCAGCACATTGCCTTATTCCTGTTGTTGAGGCAATATTTGCATCCCTCATCTTGGAGAAGTGTACCACTGGACATAGCTGAGTGATAAGTAAATGAATTAGACTAATTTACTGTATTACTGGGATAGAAATAAGACAAGAAAACTTTATTTTAAAACAAGTATTTAAAAAATTTCATTATGCTAGTATACTTGTTAGTAATGTAAAATACCTGTTAGTAATAGAAAATATTTTAATAATATAAAACTAAATTTTTAGATTTTCTTCCACATAGGTATCTCCTTGTACTCAAGTTGCATTTTGGTTTGTGGTTTTTTTTGTCTTTTTTTTTTTTCCTTAATAAAAGTTATATATACTGTTAAAAATAATTTGCATTAACTAATCCTATTAATCATTTTAAGACAGAAGCAAGGCTTGAAAATTTTTGGCTTCTGGGGGGAATTGCATAGATGAAAGTGTGACTAATGCCTACAGTCTAGGTAACTAGCCACTTTGCTATCTTTTAAACAAAACAATGGTATGGGCTAGATTTTGAGCTGTGACTCCACAGAGGACGAGGAGCACGGGCATAGAGCAGGAGGAGCAATACAGCATCAGCTCCCCTCTGAGTTCTGGCCTCAGGTCCACCCTCTGTAGGGCTGCCCTAGGAGCTGCCCCGTAGCTGCAGCAGCCGCAGCATTAGGGCCCCTCCCTGCCCTGCCTCGCGGGGGCCCCTGTCCCCTGGGGACACTGTGGCAGCGTGGCACTGCAGTGTATGGTTGCCCATATGGGCCCTATGCCATTCCTGTGCTGGGCACATCCTCCCTGGGCTCGCTTCAGACCGTCTGCAGCTCCTGAGCACTGCTGGAGAGGTGGGCAGGGGCAGTGCTGACTAGACTCTGGCTCTATGCCTGTTCTGAACTCTTTCTGCAACCGGTCCATAAAGTAATCCCCAAGACTGTTTCTGCCATCTTGGGAACAGTCAAGCCTGCGAGCATTGGTCAGTAGATCTCCCATCAGCTTGATCTTCTCGATTTTGGGCCCGATAAATTGTTTCTTGATTGTGCTTGCACTGTGAGGATCTGCATTTTCCATACTCAGGGCGTAAAGCTCTTCAAAATACCGTATTATAGTTTTCCACTGTACCATTGCTACTTCCAGGGCTTTCATCAGACCCACTGCATACTCGCAGTTTGGTTTCTAAAAACAAAGAGTGACATTTAGTCAGAAGAACAGCTCATCTTACTGTATTCAGTGGTGGTTGCTCAAAGCCCTGTCTAACCTGGCCTTGAACACATCCAGGGAGAGGCCATCCACAGCCTCTCTGGGCATCCTGTTCCAGAGTCTCACCACACCCTCACAGTAAAGAATTTCTTCCTAATATCTATTGAAAATCTACCCTATTTCAGTTTGAAAACATTACCCCCTGTCTTACCACTACACTCCCTAATAAAGACTCCCTCTCCAGCTTTCCCATTGCCCTTGTTTAATTACTGGAAGGCCACTATAAGGCTTTCCCTGATTCAAACTGAGTATTTAGAAACTTTTTCAAGATGGCCTTTTTATTTTCACTTTCCACAGCTTAACAACTGCTACAATAGGCCAAAGAAAAGCATTCTGTAGTTATTTCCACAATACTGATTTGGTAGAGGAGAATCAGCCCCTTGGTCTTCAACAAATGAAGTGGGTTTTTTCCCTGGTAACTTCTGAGTTACTCTTTGTACCCGTGCAAGCCTGTGAGAGCTCTGATTCAAATTCTGTGCTCCAACAGATCAACAGTTCAATTGCTGTGCTCCACCAGATCCACTACTGCCCCAAGCTGGATGCTTCTGCCTCCTTCCTTACCACCTTTTTAAGGTGCTAATGGCTTTGAAGCTTCTGTTGAGTTTCAATATGAAGAAGACACGTGGGCTGTTTCAGCAGGGTTTAAGGGGTCTCACAAACCATTACAGCACACTGGAAACAGCAGTGTCCAGCAAAGTGAAAGAAAAAGGGACCATTGTTCATATTCTTTTGGGCAGGAAAGCAACCACAAAGTTAGGACTGGATGTCTGACAGTTTCTAGGCATCGCAATCGAACAAAACCATGTACACTAATATGACAGGGAAATAGTAGCTGGAAATTTAATCTCCAAAGTACCAACAATATAATGCAAGAAGTTACAAGTAATTACTTCAAATTGCAACAGTTTGAATGCTTGTTGCCTACTACTCACCTGGATGGTTTTAGAGCAGTAATGGCCTCCTCTTTCTTGCTGATACTTCATCAAAGCCTCTGCGGATTTTCTCTCTTCCAGAGCTTGATGCAAGAAAAACTTTGAAACATTGGGTAGAGCCACGTGCGATTGATCAAAATATTCACCCTAAGCACACAAAACAGGAGTGTTAAGATTTGCTGGAGATGGGACTCGCTTGCAGCAGAACCTGGCTTCATGAGAACTCAAGAGACCCTTCCAATGGACGCTGTTCTACCTGCACAGTCCCTTTGGAGATTTCGGCATCAGATGAAGCAAGTAGTTGTGGTGTTCAATGAAAAATCTCTATACTTCTACTAAAACTCTTCCTGTCCTTTAACACTGGGCAGGTAATTGTAGTATTGATGTTCTGTCTCAGTAGCAGTCAGATATCCTTGCAATAGTTTATTTATGAGTGATTGTGTGTGTGTGTGTGTTCTGGGTTCGTGTTTTTTTTTTGTTGTTTTTAAACACAGTGCTAGCACAAGACTCACCCCTTCAGGTCAGCATCCCAGTGAAAAGTTAGCTTTCAAAGGCAGGAAAAAGAAGATGCATATACCAGAAAGAACTGGCACAATTTTCCATCTATTTATCAGCTTCATCATAATGTTATTCCAAAATAAAGAATACTGCTACTGAACTATGCTGTATACACCTTTAATATCGTATGCAGCTCACACCTAGGAATACTCCAGAAAACAGATCAAGGCCTGCAGTGTATGGGAGAGTAACACCTCCAATCACTGCAGCATCCAACTCCCGCTACTAGATCCACCAGCTCCTACATCAGAAGAATTTTATCCGTGGCTTTGCTGTCCCCTAAAGAGAACGCATCAGGGCCGGGCGAGCCGCCAGGTTCCGCTGCCTCTCAGCGGCTGTGCACGGCTGCAGTGCTGGGGAGCAGCAGAGGTGGCTGCTGGGCACACAGCCCCAGCCAGACCGGGAGCTGCGGGACACCCCCGCCTGCAGCACACTCACCAGGCTGCTGGCTTCTAGCCTGCCTCGGAGGGGTTAGGAACAAGTGTGTGCATTTTGTGAGTCTTTCTGCTTCTTACTGTCTTCCTTCCTTTCACCTACTTCCCTGCTTAAATGCAAAGCACTTGTTTCATCTGTGTTGCTCTCTTTAGAAAAAAAGCAGGAAAGTAGCATACGTGCTACCAGTTTGTGTTTCTCTCATATTTGCCTGGCCATCTGGGATATCCCCAAACCTGTGACACACATACACATGTGAACATAAACTGTTCAAGAGAAAGTATGTATGGAATGTTATTATTAAGAACATTCACTGCAATATTTTCATAACCCTTTTCCTGAAGTCCTTCATGTTTCTGTTGACAGAAGGGTCAAGATTCAGCGTTTCATAACTGTTTCCTCTGTGCTGCATGACTTCGAGTAGAGCACAAGTTACACACCTGCTTAACCGTTAAGGTAAATCTCTTACATCAATCATTAGCTACTGAAGATGTTCACATTTCTAGGTTTGATTTATCCACAGTCAGTTTCTAACTGAGCTTTCTCCATCCTGCCCAGCTGTCAATCACTAGGATTATTTTAATCCACATGCTTAACACACAGAGCTTTTACTAGATATTTAGGTTTTTATTGGACTAATACTCAACACCAAGCTTGATCAAAGGATCTTGGTGATATATTGAATACAGTTGCTGTTGCTTCTCAGTGGATGCTTGGCATCAGAAGGGATGCTACAGATAATTTTTTTATTATTATTATTATTTCATGTCTTTGTTTAATAAGTTGCCTTAATATTTGATATGTAGATAGATACAGTTTTGGCAAACGTTACATGGTATTAGAGAGAACGTTTTAAATTCATGTCCCGTGTTCCTGCCAGTAGAGCAAAAAAGTAAGCCAACAGCAACATTCACAAACTGCTACTTCACCAGTTAACCACACATGATTACTTCTTTACTTCCAGAGTTGGGGTAAAAAAACACCCAGGAGCTGTTCTCCAGAGCTTTTAGCACTCCCTGTTCCTGTCCCTCCTTCCACAGGCGTAACTCCGTGTGAACTACCCAAACTACACGGACGCCGGATTCGTCACCTGTAAGCCAACAGCAACATTCACAAACTGCTACTTCACCAGTTAACCACACATGATTACTTCTTTACTTCCAGAGTTGGGGTAAAAAAACACCCAGGAGCTGTTCTCCAGAGCTTTTAGCACTCCCTGTTCCTGTCCCTCCTTCCACAGGCGTAACTCCGTGTGAACTACCCAAACTACACGGACGCCGGATTCGTCACCTGCCT